GTGTGTGTGTGTGTGTGTGTGTGTGTGTGTGTGTGTGTGTGTGTGTGTGTGTGTGTGTGTGTGTGTGTGTGTGTGTGTGTGTAGTATTTGTTACTAAACCCCCACGTCATTCGACGCGGCGGGCTGCAAGGCTCAACTCCAAGAACTGTCCCACAAAGCAACAACGTACTTCTAGGAGTATTTTCAATGCAATTATGCAGGAGAAAACTTTATGCGATTAACAACAATTTACCTCATCAAGCAACCCAATACCTGTTCACCCCTTGGCAATTGCATATGCCTCACCAAATCCGGAATTCTCAGTAACCATGCAGAGAGGCTCTGGGATCGAGATTTCAGAAGCAAAGACGGGAATAGAAGCGATGGAGGGAGAGGTAAGAAAGGAAGAGCGAGGGAAGAAAGAGAATGCGCAAGGGGTTCAAACAAAGCTACCGAAAATTTAGAAGGATCAAATTCTCAAAGACGGCGGTAACAAACTAGTTGCTTTTGGCCTTTTGCAACCATTTAATTAATATAATACTAATCATCATGCAAGCATAACAAAGCGAATTTATACACCATGATGAGGAGATTGCGAAGCATAACCGAGAAATCATATTTACGATTTGATCATATTTGCCCACACGACTAGGTTTCAGATTTCATCAGTATTTTTAACGCATGGCCATAATTATGGATGATCAATAAGCAGATTCAACCTAGCATAGCAACAAATGACTTCCCCAGCTATATATCAAAGCAATATCCTATTACACCAAGAAGAGGAGGAGGGAGGAAAGAGCAAAGGAGGGATGCCATAGTGTAAAAAAGGTGTAAAACAGAGGACTCAAAAAAAAACGTATGCAAGGAAAATACTCCGATCAGCTGCAAAGTCAATTTTCAATACGCCTTCAGAGTCCCTCCACGAAACCAAGCTTCCATAAGGAAAGAACTACCACAATACCGTCAGCAGCCCATCATATCCTACCAAATCCATGTCTTGTCACCACCGATTTAGTAAGCATGCACCAACCCATCAACCGCCTACGCCACGCTTCGCATGCTACCAATGGCTATTTGCAGGAACCCATGAAGCAGGACCAAGCCAGGAGTAATCCACTACTTCTCACCCCCATATTGAATGAAGTGGCAATAGCAAAGGCAGTTGCAACAACAGGATTGCCCGTGACAGAACAATATAACCAGCGCAGATAGGAATGTCCAGTACATCCACGCAAAGGCGAGTAATAGTTCAAGCCTGCCAGCATACCCATGCCCCTCTACCCCACTAAGCATACCCCATCCTTCAAGCTCCACGTGAAACCACCAAATCCTATCAAAACAAAAACCATCGAGAACATCGTGAAAAAGAAGAAGAGAAGGACAGCCCGAGGCATCTGCTGCGGCACAACACGGCCCATCCTCGCGATCACCTCCCAACCATACACCTAGCTCTATCCGAAGATCCAAGCAATTGGTTCGTCTGCAGAGACAACTGAACGCAGAAAGCTTTGACGCACTCGCTTTCCAGATAGGCGATGAAGGCAAGGTAGCCAAATAGAATAGAGCAGACGACAACGATCCCTAGGACAAAATGGCTGCCTCCATAACCTCCTCATGAGGACGATATTCAGCAACAAGTTCCTAGCACACACATCATCAACCACAAAGACGAGAAATTTCACAGCAAGGGGGTGGTTAAGTAGTACCATGCATCTCATGCAATAAGGGAGGAGTATGAGGGTAGAGATTAAAAGAATGCCCCAATCCGACCACGCGGCTCTATTCATGCCAGCGCTACAAAAGGGTTTTTGTGGGTAATCCCAAAGGCCTTTTCGCCAACCCCCACAAATGATTGGCTCATCAGGGGTTCAGAAGCAACCCTAAGTATACACTCCAGAGGGGACTGGGCTCACTTTTGAGCCTTTTTGAAGAAAGACGAAGAGGGGTGGGGGGTGGGGGGAGGGGGGAGGGTGGTGGGTCATGGAGTAAAAAGCATTACCGCCGTGTGCGAAGCCGAGGACGATGGCGCGCCACTCATGGTTTCCTTGATCTTTCGAAT